GGTATTTTAATTCTCTCATGCTGGGATATAACAACTTTCCTATTATAAAAGAATTCCTATTTCTATGAAATTTTTTTTTTTGGTGGTACTGGGGTTTGATCCTAGGGTTTCATGCTTGCTAGGCAGGCTCTCTGCCACTTCAGCCATACCTCCTGCCCTTTTGCTCTGGTTATTTTTGAGACAGGTCTTGCTTTTTGTTTGGGCTGGCCTGGAACCCAATCCTATTTATGCTTCTTGCAGTGGACTGGATGGACAGGTGTGTGTCATCACACCCAGCTTTTTCTGTTGAGACAGGGTCTCATGAACTTTTTGCTGGGGCTGGTCTGGAATTGCAATCCTCCCAATCTCAGTTTCCTGCATAGCTAGAATGACTGGCATGAGCCATTGAGATGGATCTTGCAAACTTTTTGCCTGTGTTGGCCTCCAACTGTGAAGTACTGCCTCCCAAGTAGCTAGGATTACAGGTATGAGACACCAGCACCCAGAATTCCTGCCAGTTTTAGTAACAGTATATACCACATAAAGGATAGAGCCTGAGTACATACTAGGGTAAATGGCTGAAAAGTTATCTGCCTAAATTCTAGGTGACAGCAATAGAAACAGAAGTAAATATTTAAAGTATTTCCACAAAATACCTATGTGGATTATTTAGAAATGGTTTTCCTTAGGATTAGGGAGCAAGTATACTAGACTTTCAAAAATCCTTTACTATCCAATACATCAAAGATAAGCAAGTGCATAAATTATAAGAGATTTAAACTATTATTAATATATTATTAAAATATAATATATGGTAAATATTACATGTATTATTAATATTTTAAAAAATATCCAACATGTATTGGATGCTACAGGCAAACTAATATTATTTCTCTTGGGGAATTTTTTTAAACCACAGAAGCAGACCAAAATGTTGAATTATATGTAACTGCAAAATAAATGAATTTTGGGCTCATAAAAGCTCATCAGCTAAAATACTATAGTTTAAAACTACCATTTCACTATTAACTGTCTTCTAAATAATGAGTTCAAGCAAAATTGCTGTTATTTAGGTATTTGAGCTTTGAATCAGAAAGAACAGATTGGGAATGACAATGAAAATCCCAGATCACTGTCCTATGTGCTCTTGTTTGGTGACTTTAATAAAACTTCCCAACAAATAAATGCTAAATATCCAGAATGATGAACACTCAACTTGATTATCACTCAGGAATGATCATCTTGCCACTGAGAGCTACAGTTTTAAAATGGTGTACACCTTCAATTCCTATTTATGAGCTACAGCAGAGGTTGGTTGGCAAACTAAGGCCCAGGTACTTGTTTTTGTAAATGATATTTACTGGTATGCAATTCATTCATGCATTGTCTAGAGCAGTTACAGAGCTGCTATGGCAAAGTGACAATAGCAACCCTATGGTCTGCAAAGGCATAACTGATTTTACCCCTTGAGCCATGCATCCAGACCTTTTTGCTTTAGTTTTTTCTCAACTAGGGTCTTACATCTTTTCCCGGGTTAGCCTGGAGTACCTCGGATGACAGCTGTATCATGCCCAAGTTTATTGGTTGAGATGGGATCTTGCTAATTTTATGCCAGAGCTGGCCTTGAACTGCGAGCCCCCCAAACCACTGTGCCCAGCCTTTGCTTATGATTGTTTAGGGCAAAACAGAGAACCTTATTCAATTGAGAATTAGAATTCTAAGTGACATATGATAACACAATATGACTGTTCTTGCATTGGTCAAAATAGGTTGAAGCACACTAGGTTTGGCTTTTACACTAACTGCTGTGTTGTTAGGTGCCATTTCTCTTATCATGGAGCCAGTTTCACATACTTGTGCCATTTCTTCCTTTTCAAACTCCATTCTACAACTGTTAAATTTCCTAGGATGCCTCTTGAGTATGCATTTTTACTTGTTTCACCTGCTTGTCCTTTTCTTCTCATTTTGCTAATGTTTTTCAGGTATTATGGATTTGATGAAAACACCAGGAGCTTTGAGCATCTCCCTTCCATCTTATATCATTACTTACCAATTCTCTGGTTTTAGCTAACACTCACTCTATACTTTAGTATCTGTTTAGATTTATTCACAAATTAATTTCTTGTTTGACTCTTTCAAGCACCTTGCTTATCACTCCATTTGTTGTTCAAGGGTGCTGGGTACTTGGCCTGGAGCAGCCATGTATCAGCTACTACCTTTTGCAAAAATGCTCTCTTTTGCATTTTTGGAAATATTTTCTTTGGCCTTACTCTGTTTGCTTTTTTCAAGGTTTCTTATCTAATGAGCCCTTTCTCGTGGTCCAAAGAAGATACTAATTTACTCATTTTCCAAATATCTTTTCTGTCATTGAGGGCAGAAATGGGGATAATGCATGTGCTCAGACCTCAGTCATGCAATGAAAAGTCTCATCTGTTGATTCCTCCTTTTTTTCTAATATACCAGCTCAACAAAGAAACATTAGGCCAGGTGTCTTTTTACCTGCAGATACCAACAAGTTCCATTTTTTCATAACTGCCCTAATTCTGAAAGGCAATCAATCTCAAGTAGTAGAAAGAAAAGAGACTACTGAATCATATATCTTGAAGCAAGTCTTGATTCCATTATATTCTGTTTGGCCTTCAGAATGTAGTTTTATGGATAAAGTTTCCTTATCCATAAAAATAGACATAATAATATCTATGTATGTCAATGACTGGAATACAGAGGATTCTACTTTTAATAAAACGAGGAACTAGACTTAAAACAAGTACTAACTGTAGCTTTTAAAATATGTACTACAATAGTCCTGTTTTAGCAATTAAGGATTTCTGAAACACCACAATCGACTTCCAAATAAAATCTGGCTAACAAAACTACAGGGTGTCCTTTAAAGAAGCTCACTCAATAGTAAAATCAAAGTTCTTAATTTTGAGAAAGCAGGACTAAAATTTTTTATGCTGCTTTTAAAAAGGTTAAAATTCATATAAAACCACAGCTCCACATGGGTGCAATTGATCTGCCATCAATAAAGCCTCTCTGAATGTCACATATTTGATTATAAAAATAAGGCTCAGAGGCAAGTAAAAGAATGACCTGAGCACATGTAGAATAAACTAGTTAAAAATTAGAAACTCAATAACTTAGTAACATAGAATGCCTTACAACCACAAGGTCTCAATGAGCTAGAGCATCATGCTTTGAGAATAAAGAATAACAGTAGTTTGGGTCCTCTCTAGTGTAACAATAATGTTTTGCTTTGTTGCTTTGTTTCCTAGGAGGAAAAAGAGAACTATCAGAAAGAAAAATGGCATTGATCTATAGTTCAAGATATGGCTAAAAGAAATGAGCATGCTTAGGGGGCAGTCTGTTAGTAAATAATCCTAAGCTAAAAGGACCCAACCGAAGTTCTTATTTTCAGAGTGCAAAACTCTTGGTTGAGCAGAAAAAGTCAGGGAAAGAGGAGAAAGAAGAAATCATTATTATTATTATTATTATTTACTGTAAGTTTAGCTAGCAGATAGGCTGAGGCCATGGGAATTTAGTCACTACTGAAGAGCTGAGAGATAGACAAAAAGAAATCATTGTCATGTGGCTTAAGTTCAGGGTCAAACTGTGCCTTAACTGAACACAAGTCAGTAAGACCTCTTGACTGTTTAAATCTGTCTCAGCTGGATTTAGACATCTGCAATACAAAGAATCCTAACTAATACAATACTGAAATTATATAAACCTTTTATGAACCATGAGTCAGTATCTGCAGTCTTTGTCAACAAGTTTTTGATAAAGTAAGTGAGAAATATTTCCCTAGGGATGAAACTGGACAATGAGGTAGTAACTGAAAATTTTTGTGAGCACACCCTATCACAAATGCTGGATCTATTAAAATGGCAGAGAATATTATTTCCATTTTTTTATGTTTTTGAAAAACTGCCTTATTTACAGCAATATGTTTTGTAGTACTTGAAAACTGCTTTTGATATAAACCCAGAAAACACAACTTCTCTACACATATTTAAAGAAATCTAGTAATTGTGTTTAAAGTGAAACTAAAAGAAAACCCTAGTTTTAGAGGACCTGAATTACATGCTTTTACAACCGTATCTTTAAAAAGTTGACAATATGTTAAAAGAGAATGTGCTACTTCTCAGTTCTCTCCTTATTGTGCTGAAGCTCAGCCTCCGAAGTGTGTAAAATCCCCTTTTGTTATAAGAAAAGCTGTTATTTATTGAGTGCTTACTATGTGTTAGCCACTCTGACAAATGTTTTATATACATTTACTCATTTAAAAATTCTATTTCTTCACTGCTTCTTTGAGTAGACCTAATTCTAAGATCCCAAATGAAAATATTATGAATAGCACTGTCTGGTAGTGAAATGCCAAGTCAAGGATCAATATTGGTGTCCTATTTGATAAGGATTTCTTGCACTGCCACATCTAATATAGCTAGTTATTATTGATGAGTTAACTTGTAAGGCTAGGTTCTGAACTCCATCTAAGAGCTTTTAACAGCAAAGACAAAAAATACAGAAAAACTCCCAAATTTAGTACTCTCTCAATACATCAAGAAACCAGATGACTTGGAGAACCCTACAGCAAAATACCTTTACTAATCTTGCTCAGTAAGGATTACAGAAAATGAAGCTTACAAATTTTATACCAGTGTGACTCAAAGTGTGGACTGTCTGTGATAGTCTGCAAACTGTTACTTGCCCATGATGTTATTTTCTACATCACCAAGTATAATGCTTATTTTAGCTAACTTTTTTTTTTTTTTTCCATCATAACAACATTTCTGGATGGAGACTAGCCCAAACTCCTTAACAACCAGGAACTGGTAGCAGTTTGTGGAACAGCTATTTTAAGTAACACTGTTCTAGATCTCAGTTTTGGTTACTGCCTCTAGTTTTCTGTCCCTACAGCCATACATCATTTAAATAAACTAACAATCAAATACTTAGCTTAAATAGTTACTTACACAGAGATGTGAAAAAAAAGAACAAAAATGAGTAATTGACCTCACCTTTGACAGAAGCAATTTCACACAGGAAACATGACCCTCATAGACAGCAGACAGAAGAGGGGTAATATGATGTTTATCTGGAGCCTGTGAAATGACAAATACAGAAATAATCTTATTTTACATTTTTTTCTTTCTTCCTATACCTAATTAGTACAGTCTTATGGATACTTGAAAATTAATGAGTATCTGTTTGCCTTTCTATTCAAAAATTATTCTGCAGACATAAGCTTTCTAGTCTTTCTTTAAGAGAGACCCCAACACTTCTCCATAGGAGTCAGCATAGAGGAGAGACAAGGGCTCTGGCCTCAGGTCAAACCTTCTATCTGTCACTTACTATGTGACTAGTTATTTAGTTTCTCTGAGCCTAAATTTCCACTACTGTAGAAATCACAATATGGTCCAGTAAGAGGAGACAGGGGTAGAACATAAGTCAATAAGGAGGCAAAAGGAGGCCAAAACTGGGCCAGGTAACATGAAGTGAAAAATTGATCTCACTTGCTGTCATGGTTACTGAAACAATTTTCCAGAACTCTGAAACACAGAAATAACAAAAGGCTAAGAAGCTAGGAGATAAATGCTCCTGTCTCACCACTTGCTCATCAACTTTTGTTCTGTAATCTAGTTTAGTTGTAGCCTATGACTTCAAAGTCCTATGCATCATTACATAACAGCATTTACTATGATTAGTATGAACTTCCCAAGCTTTAGAACTTGAAAAGCTATAGCCAACGGGAAAACAACAAACCTTCAGTTTATCAGCTTAATAAAGAGAGTTTGTTTGGCTTAGTTTAAAACCCCAACTGTGTATTTCTAAGTTACAGGAAATATGGTATAGTTTCAGACTATATTATTTAAAATAAGTAACCGTTTCACAAATCTATAGAAAACAATTGCCCAAAATATACAACAGCATTTTTCTAGAATGATATATGCATTCATTTACATCTTCTACATACATTAATATCTGCTCCTTTCAGTAACAGAAATTCCAGGATTTCAAGCTGTCCACAATCTGCTGCATAGTGAAGAGGTTTCCTTCCACCTTCTAGTGTCCGGTTGACATCCTCTCCCTTGTAAGAGAAAGCCAAATGAAAACAATGTTTGTATTTATGACAGTCTAAAGAAGGAAATGAGATACCTGATATCTTTTCTTTTTTAAAAACCTAAGAACTTCATGAGGCAATTTTATTTCTTGTAAACTGAAATAAGCAAAAACTTGAGGTGAAATTTTATATAATTAACATACAGTATAATATTAATTTATGACTAGTTAGGCTACAAATTACACAATGCTAAATATTTATAAATTGTATTACTATGTTCCATTATCTTCATGTAATTCAATCAGCACAATTTCAAGTGACCAAAAAGACTGGTAAGTTCAAGTACTGAGATTTTGCAAAGTCCATATGACATGTATTTTAACTCTTCAAAGAAAGTATCACTACTTTGATAGAGGCAGCCACCATTATGAGAAGTATTAGCTAGTAAGGATTCATTTTATTCTTTCAATATTTACTGAAGTCCTACTATACAGCAAGCACTGTACTAGGGGCAGGGAAGATGGTGGTGAGCAAAATCAGATATGGCTTCCAACTGCTTGGAGTTCCTCAAACATCTCATGTGTAAGGAAGACATTAAGTAACCGTATAGTTAAATATATAATTTGAAAAAGGAACTTAGGGTTACACAAATACCAGAAGACCATGATTTGGTGGTAGATGGGAATGCAGCATCAGAGAATGAACTTAAAGCCTCATAAAGTAGTTTTCACTTATTGAGAATTTAGAGATGAACAATAACAACTGCTACTGACTGAACATCTGCTATATACTTAGCACTGTGCTCCATGTAGTATTTCTAATCTTCAAACTACCCTAAAAGGATAAGGACTTAACACATGGAAGTTTGAAGTTGAGATTAATATTTTTAAACATCGCTCAGTTAGTAAGAGAGCAGACATCTAACACCATTTTCTTTTTATACCATGGTACTGCCTTTTACTCAGTATTTGTTCCTTTGTATTTAAGGTTAGTTAAGATTGTACAGTAGCAAAATGCCTGAAAGTTCATTTTTTCAAATACCATGTACCACTTAGCTTACTTTGGTCAGCACACTAAGCCAAACCCTGGATTAAGATGTTGGAACACTATTATTGTAATTTTTTTTCCTGTCGTATGGGGGCTTGAATTGAGGGCTCCACACTTGCATTCCACCACCTGAGCCACGCCCCACAGTCCTTATGCTTTTAGTGTTTTTTTTCAGATAGGATGCCTTGTTTTTTGCCTGGCTACTCTTGAAGCAAGATCCTCCTGGGTGAATTCGATTATGATATACTGTAAGAACTTTTGTAAATGTCACAATATGCCCCAAGTACAACAATAATACGATAATAATATTAAAAAAAAGGATCTAAAAAAATATTGTCTGGTCTCCACCTCACTAGTAGCTGGGATTACAGGAATACCCTACCATGCCTGGCCCAGAGCCCTATTATTTTATAGTTATTAGCAGCTGTTTTTAAAAACTTCTCCTTTTCATTTAGGCCATCTTCCTACCTCCTTCCCTTTAATTTATATACTATAGGTCTTCCAAGTCCAACCAAATTCAAGATTTATCTTGTCTATGAAATCTTCCATGGTTATGGCAAGCTCTCCTTCCCTTAAAATTTACAGTAATCAGCATTTAAATATATGGTACCCCTGAAGCTTTTTAAGTATATACCTTCTTGCTCAATAAAACACAAATTCCTTGAGAATAGAGATTATATATTTCCTTCCTTACATCTTCCCTACAGTATGTTGTATAGGTTAAGATCATAAGCTCCATTACAACTGTGCAAGTCACCTACTCTCTAAGTGCATGTATTTTCATAATTGTAAGATGGAGATGAAAGTACCCAACCTCTCATGGTGTTGCAGGGATTACATCAGATGATCCAAACAAAGCACTTATAACAATGTATTACTGGCCAATTTTAATAGAAATATAATTAGCTCCCTATAAATATTACCCATGTATATAACAGGTACATACACATACTGACTTCTAAGAGTAAGGTAATAATACATATCTACCACAGCAATCAATGGGAACAATGGAACATTAAGTCAGGGAATTGAATTTTACAGTGTTCCCGAGTTCTAGCCCAGATGTTTATTTCAAATATATTGTTCTTTTGGAGGATTGAGAGTCTCATCAGAAATAATGTTCCTCCTCTGATAAAACAACCCATTTCTAAGTTAAGACTACTACAGTAGTTCAAAGCAATAACTTCTGTTTTTTTTTTTTTTTTTTTTTTTGGCAATACAGGGGTTTAAACTCAGGGCCACTTGAGCTAGACCCCCAGTTTTTTTGGTTTGGTTATTTTTCAGAGAGGGTCTCATGCTTCTGCCTGGGGCTGGCTTTGGATCCTTTTACCTCTGCCTCCCACATAGCTGGGATTACAGCCAAGCATCACTATGTTGGTCCTTCAAAACAGTAACTTCTATAGGCTGCTTCATTCTAGTCAATACAGTCTAGCATGACTTATGATAGGGATACATTCTGAGAAATGCATGGTGAGGTGATTTTGTAGTTGGGTGATTCTGTTGCTCAGCAAGCTTCACAGAATATACTTAAAATATAAAAAACTAAGACAGCTAAGAAGTCAGGCGATGGTACAATCTTACGGGACCACGATTCCATTTGTCATCTGTCTTTGACTGAAACATGGCACATTATGTGGTGTGTGTCACAATAAGGACTCAAACAACATATGGGTAAGAGAACATGGACAATATGCTTAAGGTGTCTAGAGACTTGGGTTAGTGCTCCAACTTTATCACTTACAGACTACGACTAACTGCTTTCTACAACTTAAGCTTCCTTATTTATAAAACAGGAATAAAAATATCTACAACTCACTGAGTTTTAGAGTTTCATTAAATGAGATAACTCATGAGTGTTTAGCATAGTGCCCAGTGCATGGTAAAATGTTTAATAAGTTTAACTATTATTTTTATAGATCACTTATGTTGGTTTTTATTTGAATTAAGATTACTGACAATTGGGTTAAGTCAAGTTTCTGTGTTAATAATTGAAATACAAATGAAGACAGTTAAACATAATACACTTTACATTCAGAAACACATTTAGATAGTAAGGGTGATATGGCAAACCATTTTACCTCCTAGTGTTAATTCATAACTATAGAAATGGGAGGCTTTACAGCAAAGAGACATTGATTACGTGAATCACAGATAAAACTAGTTTTCCTTCCCTTGTTAATATTTCTGTTTTATACTTAGTATTAACTGGACAGGTCTTTACATTAGAGCAAAGCAAATAAACAACCATAGTAAGTAGTCATTTACATGGCTCTGTCAGAAAGGTATTTCCCTGAATCAAAATGTTATACTCTCCCTTGTCCTTCTAGTACAAGAGACATATAAAATAGAGTTGTTCTGAGTTTAAAAACTTTCTACTTTATGCCTTCGAAAACTTCCATTACAATTCTTACAGCATTAAATGTCTATATTAGAAAAAGAAAAGGCTTCAAGTTAGTCATCTTCATACTTTCATCAAGATACATTAGGAAAAAAACCAAATTAAAGTAAGCAGGAAGAATAAAGATCACAGCAGAAATACAAGAAACAGAAAATGATGGGGAGAAATCAAAAGTTGATTCTTCAAGAGGACCAACACAACTGACAAATGTTTAGGAAGAATGAACAGGAAAAGAAAAGTGAGGCACAAAGTGCTATACATTACCTTCCCATAAAGAAGTCTCAGGCTCCCAATGGTTTCACTATTAGATTCTACCAAATAGTCAGGAAAGACATGATACCTATTGTATACACTTCCAGAAAGCAGAAGAGATGAGAAGATGTATCAACACATTGAGAGGTGAGCATTACTCTCATTTTAAAAAAAATGCTACAAGAAAAAAGCCCCTTTGAGAATTATGCCCCCTGAGAAACTAGGAACCCCTCCCTCTGTTATTTAATCTTACCGACTTTTCACTGCCTTCATTGTAGACAAAAGGTTCTACTTTTGTCAAAAACCTCAGTATTAAATCATGAAAGAACACTAAGTAGAAGCCTTACACTCTAGTTACTGCTACTACCCACACAATGGCTACTGTTAAGAAGCCTGGAGGCCCTTAGTTTCCTCATGATAAAAAAAATCAGTGGCTGCACAGATCTCTTTTATAATTTCCTTCTCGTCTTTTTTACTTTTAAGAGTTAAAGGAGGCATTCTGTTATCGTGTCAATCTATAACTTCTACCCCATCCACATCCTACACCAGGAAAATAACTTTTTCTATACTTTTGGCTATGAAAACAAGAGTACTCAAAAGGCTGGGTGCTAAAATTGGTTACTACCTGACACTTAACTTTTCACACATAAGTTCAACCAAGGAAGGCAATATAACATGAACAAAGCAAGGACAACAAAAATATATACATGTATTTCAAAGTAAAAATGTTCTTTTAAATGTGTTGTTTTAGGCACAGATTTAAAAAGATGCTGAACCGTGTTATGAGAAAAAGACAACACTACTTACAATTAGATTTAACCCCAAAAATTATTTGCTGAACTTACTGTAAATTAAGTACAGTTCTATTGCTTGGGATAAACTAGGAAGGCTTTACTGTGACTCAAAAAATTAGCTGCCTTTTGGGGAGCAAACATGTAAATAATGATTGCCACTTAGATGGTGTTACAAGAACAGAGTAAACTACAGAGGAACCTCAATGAAAGGAATCCTCAGTAACTGACCTCACTGGCAATTTAGCTTTTACTTAACTTTTCTTGCATTTGTATCTTATGTTGTCAGATTTTAAAGGCTTTCTGGGATCAGAGAACACATCTTATACTTCTCATATTTCTACCACAATGACTTATACTGTACTTTTAAATCCCAACCACAGTTTGTTGTGATTACTGGCAGATTATATAACATCCTGAAATGCTAAATAAAGAAAAGCAGTTATTCAATAAGTAATCAATTGATTTGAAGCATGTATATAAACACACACATGTGTAAGAGAATGTAATTGGAGAAATTCATATCACATTATGTTGTT